ATATGTGCTTTATATGTTATTGAATGGTATGTGGTAGTTGGGGAGACTCACTAAGCTTCGTGCTTATAGTTTTCAGTTTTGGTTTCAGGTACTCAGTTTTCAAATGAGGAGCTCGGGAAGATTGCAGTGCACACACCATTTGTTCAGCCTGGGATGTTTATACTCTGATATACATAACAGTTGCTATATTATTCTGAGATACATTGTTGTGATTTTTCTATGACGTATGATGACTATGGTTTTATTACTGATTTAAAACGAAATTTTTAGACTGTATTTTTGGGATGTTTCATGTCTACTAATTTTCCTAAGAATACAAGTGGTTTGGAAAAGATATGTTCTTTGTTATTGAAAACTTTAATGTGTTCTTCCAGAAAATCCAATATTTTCTTAGTAAATAAGTCGTAGTCTTAGTACTTTGAGACCAAAAAGTATAGGTTTCTTCTGTTTATAACCTGTGATTCGAGGTTCTGATTCATGTAATTCGAATGACCTGTATTGTTACCTCCTATGATTACTTAGTGTATACAAATTATATATAATTAAAATCGAACGGACAGTCGATTGGGTGATTCTGCCCTAAGCCCACAACCAAACAAGGAACAAGAAGAAAGACGGAAATTACACATTCCACTGCCTATCGGATCTTTATTATATATAATCCTAACGCATACATTAAGTAATCATAGACTCTAGTAAAAAGAATACTCGATATATGTTTTCTGAACTTCTATTCGTACCATATTAGTAAATAATATATTGTTTTGCTTTTCGTGTAACTGTGTGTAAATCTAGAAATTTAGTACATGCAAATAATGTAATATAGTTTATTATTTAATAAAAACCCTTGAAAGTATATTTGCCCCGAAATCCGAATGTATGGTTAATAATCAAATAAAATTATTTGAAAATATATTATTCGTAAATATGTCGTTGTTTTCTCCTTGTGAGTTCTTATAACCATACTAACCCAGTCGGCCTGATCGCGACGTTCTTCAGGCGTCAGAATGTTAACGACATTTGTCACCCCACGTCTGCCGGCCTGAGTGTAGCTAACAGTCGGGGTGTGGGATTGTCAGCCCTAAATAGATCTATACACAAATATCTCTCTCTCCCTACAAGAGATTCTAGTTATAAGGCAGGCCTTTTACCCGTACTTAGATAAGTACACGAAGACGTCTCACAAATTGCTTCAACGTTTTTACGAGTAATAACTGAAAACCCTTTTAGTTTATATGTTAACCTGAACTTTGTAAAATAGTTCATTTGTTCCATAAACTATACATATTATAGTTTATAAGTTTGTTTCCGTGTTGTAACCTGAACTTTGTAAAATAGTATCTTTGTTCCATAAACTATACCTATTATAGTTTATAAGTTTGTTTCCGTGTTGTAACCTGAACTTTGTAAAATAGTATCTTTGTTCCAAAAACTATACCTATTATAGTTTATAAGTTTATTTCGTTGATGTGAAAACCGTTGCGTCTTAACATGTTTTGTAAATCTTTGTAAATTTAATAATAACGATGTTTTGCATATTTAATAAATTTCACATTTAATTTCATATTAACGGTAAGAAAATATAATAATAAATTTATATTTTTAAACACAATATTTCTTGTGTTTTACTTGTATTCCCCCCCCCCCCCTCCTAAAACAATTTAAAAATTGTAAAAACGTAGGGGTATGAACTCACCTTGAGTACGTGTTCTTGTTTAGATACGAAGTGTTTCCGATGATCTCCGGGTTAGAACACGTGTAACTAAATGTATTCCTAATAATATTTAACACATAAAATTATATATGTAGTTTAGATAATTAATAATTTAAAGTGTTAAATAAACACTAGATGGTAATAGGAGTGTTTACCAAATTAATTCCTAAGAATTAATTTAAGTGATGGTTCTTCTGGGAAAACTTGAAGATATGAAGTGTTCTTGATGTTCTTGAGGTAATTAAGAAGATTTGAAGGTGATTTCGGTTGAAGATGTGAAGGTTTGAAGATACTGGGTAAAAAAAGAAAACTTAAGAACATATGGTGATTTCGTATGGACTTTGAGAGCAAAAATTGAGAAGTTTTCTAAATGGAAATGAGAGTTATGGGGATGGTTTTCGGTTATGTTTTTATATATTGGGATAATATTTAATGTAATGGATACATAGGGAAGTGCAATTTATCATTTAGGGAGGTGTGTCACCGCCTAAAGGAGGGGATTGCGGTCTATCCACTCAACCAAGAACATAGTGTCTTCGGTCAAGGAAGGTTTTCAGTGTAAAGGGGTTTTCGGTGGAGCTGATTGCGGTCAAAGGTTTGCGGTTGGAGTTGATTTTGGTTCGAGGTGGGGTCTTGCATGGAGTTTTCGGTCTTGCATGGAATCACCAAATGGTGATTTCGGTCCATACTTTTGGAATTAAATTCTCAACATCGAAATATATAAAATGTTTAAATAAATAATAACATTATTTGACTTAATACTTGACGTGTTTAACTTTTATTTAACATGTTTGAATTTTGTTGACTTTTATTGATTCGAAATAACAGGTTGTTAAAATAGACAATATAGTTCGTTATATTTACGACATAATAATCTTTCGATGGCGTTCTAGTATTATGCGCAAGCCGTCGCAACGGTTGTCTGGGAGAGGGAATGTGGATCAACAAATTAAATGGGATCAAATGCTCCAAATGTTGTCTTTTTAAAATACTCTATGGTTGTTTTAATATCATTTTAACCAATGTAAATAGATTTTTGATGGTTTTGTTTTAAAATGGTCTAAAATAAACTAGTTCTTTTATTTATGTTTTATTTATTGTTTTTGAGAAAAATTATCATTTGTAGTTATCAAAACCCATGGGAACCTACATTTCCAATAAGGCGTCAAATTATTAGAAAAAGACAATTTGATGAAACTAATAATGCACGATAATTACAGTCACTGAAAAATCGTTTAGAATTGAATATTTTATGATTGTTGATGTTTCAATTGTTTCATTAAAAAGTAGATTTAAGCAATTAACGTTTTTTGAAAATATTTTTGGATTTTTATTTAATTTAAAAAAGTTAAAGTGACATTGAACTTAAAAAAAGTTGCATTAATTTCTCCAAACAATTTTCTCTTAATAACATGTGTGATGTAGATTCAAGTTATATGTTTTCTGAACTTAAAGTATTGCAAACGACTTTGCGAAACGATTTTATGTTCATTGTTGAAATTCTAGAGTTTGTTAAAACATAAGATTGTTATCCAAATGTTTTCATTACATCTTGCTGCAACATCAACAAAAAAAATTAAAGTTATTAAAAAAGTATTTGAGATAATCTATTTCACAAGAAAGATTGAATGTGATGCATCAAAAAAATATATGTTGAACAAAATTGACTTTGATATTATTTATGATGACTTTGCTTTTAAAAGAGCTAGTAATTATAATTTTTTTTTAATTTTTCTTTGTTATGTTTATGTAATAGGATTGAAAACATATTATAATATTTTATTTTGTTGTTTTGCATTAATTGTTTTAGGGTGTTTGACTTCTGGGTCTGTCTTGAAGTTTTTTTTCCCTTTCTATAGATGGAGGGTTCCTAGCATGAAATTGTGTTAACCTTTTTTTTTCTACTTAATAAAATTTTTCGGACTACTACTTTTTCCGTCAAAAAAATTATATCGATATATATCTATGGCAAATGGCAAGTTGATATGTGTAGTTGGGTTATGCTCGTAGGTTTTAGCAATGTTCAAAATAACGTTAGGCGTGACTTGACGGCAATGTCAAATCTTAAACTTTTTCAAGTCGTGGCAAATCATGTTGTTTGTAAGACGTGACTTAATGCAGCAATTTTGTAAATAATTAATAATTCTATATATATTTTCTGCTATTATTTATTTTTATATATACATAACTTAAGATAATAGCTTGTTAAAGTTTAACGACAAATACTTGGAGCCATGGCGCCTCTTGATAAAGCCATAACAAGCTTTTTAAAACTTGATTTTTAGTATGGTCCTCTTCCTATATATTTAAGGTTGATAGGTAGTTGTTCCTATATACTTAAGGTTGATGGGTAGCATTTTGAAATGTGTTTTACTACTATATTTTTTAAGTTTATCTTTTTCAAGCTTATGAATAAGAATAATATTTTCTCACATATAAACATGATGTTGGTTAAAAAGGCACCCTATTTTTTCTATATAGACACTCTATTTGGTTTTTTAAAGTATTTTTATTAATTGAATTTGTATTGTTTTCCAAAAAAATAAGTTATAGATAGTTTATTATAGGTTGACTTATAATAAAAGGCGTAACTTATAGATAATTTATTATAGGTTTTTTTAAAAATCTTTCGCTTTTCAACTCTTGATATGAATTAATATATAGAATTATAAAGGAAAACCTAGGCCTGTGGTTCATTGGAAGTCGCGAATGCAAGGTTCGATTCACGTATCACGGTTCGCTTGTCTTTTTATACCCACATGCCTCGACTCTTCATTTAATAAATACATATGAACATCCATAATAATTGATACAGAAGAAGAATCATAAGATTGGATGCAGGTGAGAGGCATGCTACATTTTTGGCAAGAAGCGGTGAACCGGATGGAGGAGGGAGTGTGGGCGTTCATGTGCTACACCCCTTTTCTCACGTGTCCTACCATTCTGTCATAGTCCACTCGCCCTTCAACCTCGTAGCCACAACATGGCTCAGTTATGACTTATACAATATTTTAGTATGGAATTTTGAAGGAGCGTGTCCTCCACTCTCCAAAGTAGGAATACCATTTATTAGGATTTGGTATTTAATTTAATATCGTTAGATAAAACTGTGGACCCAATGCAATTCTGCTCAAGACAGAAAACAAAACTAAAAACAAAAACAGAAAGCTAGTATGGCGGTTACCCCCTAGCTACACCTTATGACCTTAGCTTGTTCGTTCCATATAAATACCAACTACGCCTCTGGTTTTCATCCCAAACCAATACACAATACATAATACACAATATGAAAGAACATAACACTATGACAAGTGACATTGAATCCCTTTGGCTTTTCCTTTTCCCTCTACTCTCGAAATGCACATCGCTTGTTTTCTTTCTTCTTTTCCTTCTCAAATCCATATTTCACTGGGCTCATCCAGGTGGTCCAGCCTGGGCTAACCACAGCGTAATACCTGGTCCGAGGGGCTTTCCTTTCATCGGTAGCATGTTCCTCATGACCGGCTTGGCTCACCGGAAGATTTACGCTGCAGCTCAATCCTGCGGAGCTAAGCGTCTCATGGCCTTCAGTCTTGGCCAAACGAGGGTTATCGTCACCTGTCATCCAGACGTAGCCAAGGAGATACTCAACGGATCCGTCTTTGTTGATCGTCCAGTCAAGGAGTCGGCTCGCACTTTGATGTTCGATCGGGCCATCGGGTTTGCACCTTATGGAGCTTACTGGCGGACTCTACGACGGATCGCCGCTATGCATCTTTTCTGCCCCAAACAGATGAGAGCTTCCGAATGGCAGAGGAAGGTGATTTCCCAAGAGATGGTGGAGATGATGCATCACCAAAAGAGAGAATCGATATGCGTCCGAGATTTGATTAGGCGTGCATCTCTCTGCAACATGATGTGGTCTGTGTTTGGAAGAAAGCACCGGTTGGCCGATTCAGACGACGTCCAACTGGTGGAGCTGAGGGAGCTTGTGGATGAAGGTTACGACGTGTTGGGAACGTTTAACTGGACCGACCACCTCCCATGGCTGACGGACTTTGACCCGCAAGGGATCCGGTTCAGGTGCTCCAATCTTCTTCCTAAAGTCAAACACTTTGTCAACCGGATGATCCAAGAACACCGATCGCAAACCACGCCTAATAATTCTAACACCGACTTCACCCACGTCTTGCTTTCACTTCAAGGGTCAGATAGATTATCGGATTCAGACATGATTGCCGTTCTGTGGGTGGGTAATTAATTAAGCCAATTTGAATTTTCTTTTATATATTTACATGTATATATGTAATGAATATGACATGCATACAGGAGATGATATTCAGAGGAACAGACACGGTGGCTGTAATGATGGAGTGGATTCTAGCGAGGTTGGTGCTGCATCCTGATGTTCAGTTAAAGGTACAAGAAGAACTGGACAGGGTGGTGGGGAGGTGTCGTCCCGTGATGGAATCTGATATTGCCAACTTGATCTATCTACCTGCGGTTGTCAAAGAGGTTCTCAGGCTACACCCACCAGGGCCACTCCTCTCTTGGGCTCGTCTGGCCGTTTCCGACACCACCGTTGACGGTCATCACGTGGCAGCGGGAACCACCGCAATGGTCAACATGTGGGCCATTTGTCGAGACCAACATCTCTGGAAGGAGCCGTCGGAGTTTCGTCCAGAAAGGTTTGACAAGGATTTTTCGGTGATGGGTTCGGACTTGAGGGTGGCTCCGTTTGGGTCGGGTAGGCGGAGCTGCCCTGGGAAGACTCTTGGATTGACGACGGTAAGTTTTTGGGTGGCGTCATTGTTGCAGGAGTTTGAGTTGGATGGAAACGACGTTGACTTGACGGAGGTGTTGAAGCTATCATGTGAGATGGCTAACCCACTTATTCTTAACGTTCGACCAAGGTGTCCATCAACAACTTCCTTCCTTTAAACACCAAATAAACAAACAAACTAATAAATTACAAACAAGAAAGAGCAAAATATGCAAGAGCCAGTTAGTGTAAAAAGATACAAGTGAGTTTTTTTTTTTGTATATACCTTTCTTTCATAATCAAGATTAGGATTTTGATTGTACGAGATGTACCCTTGTAACATAAACATATATAATATATAGAAATAGAAAGTTTAAATGGTTTTTGTTATAATCTCTTGCTTTACTTTATAACTTTAACTTCTTCTTGCTATTTCTTTTTTCTTTGTAATGTTTATTTATCTATGTATATGTATATATTAATTAATTATATATTGAAATTAATTTAAAGGTATTTAAAGAGAAGTGATATATTGTTGATAATTTATTATGTGGTTCCTTCACCACCACAAATACATGCGAGTATCTTGTATTTATAGATGAGATACACAAAGTTTGAAACACTAAAATAAATTAACTAAATAATAGGGGGGGGGGGGGATATAACTGGTAAATAAATGAATTAAAGTGGTGTTTGGCAAAAAAAAAAACATATTGCTTATTAGCTTATAAGTTAATAAGTAAGTGTAGGGTAACTTATGAAAAAAATGACTTATTAGAAGTTCCTCACCGGAATAGGTTATTTTCATCCAAATATTTTTTTAACTTATAGTGGTTTGGAACCTAATAAGTTGTTTTAAAAAGTTTAGTCAAACACCCCCTAAGTACAATAAACTATATGTTAGTCAATCAGTAAATAAATGAAATAAGTACAATAAACTATAAGTTAGTCACGCACGCTTCTGTATATATGTCCTGTGGAAATCAATTTCAAGTGGGGCCCATTGACCCCACTTATTACACATTGCGTCAGCCACTAAGGGTGTCAACTTTCGACCCAATCTGTAACCTGATACCAATCTAACCCGAAAATAGACAGGTTTATGTTGAGATTTTTGACCCCCAACCTGTTTATTTCATGCGTTGGGTTGGGTTACCTGTTTGGGTTCACCGGTCAACCTGCCAACTCGTATATATATATATATATATATATATATATATATATATATATATATATATATATATATATATATATATATATATTGAAATATTAGTGAAATCTGATTTCCTTTCGTATTCATAATATTTCGTATCATTGTATTCCTTCCGTATTCGTATGTGGTTAGGCTGCGTTTGCGGTGACCTAATCAAAAAAGAAAAAACATATGTTGTCATTTTTAGATACTCATGAGTCACGAATAGGGATGAGATTTAGAACCGGAAAACCGGACTGTAATCGGAATCGGACCGGAACCGAAACCGTTAGAACCAGAATATATAGAACTCGTTTCGGTTTCGGGTTTAAAAATTGGTTTTATCCGGGTTCCGGGTAATCCGGGTTTGGGTCCATCGGGTCCGGGTAAACCGGGTCTAAAAACCGGAACCACTTTTAGGGTCGGAACCGATTTTTGTGAAACGTTTAAAAGATGCATATCTCATTCGTTTCAACTCCGATTGACATGCGGTTTTTTTTCCATCGTGTAGTTTAGAGTTTGTACATGATTTTAAACTATAAATTTTCCATTTTTAGTTTTATATTCATTGACTTACAGTCCCCCAAAGTCGAGATATCAAAGCTGAAAGTTTTTTGTTTTTTAGTTTTTTTTGTATTCTGTGAAAGTTTTAAAACATGCATATCTAATTCGTTTGAAGTCGGATTGACATGTGGTTTTTTCCAACTTGTAGTTTAGAGTTTGTACATGAGTTTAGACTATAATTTTGTCATTTTTGGTTTAATATTCAATGATTTACAGTACCCCGAAGTCGGGGTATCAAAACTGAAAATTTTCAACTTTTCAGCTATTTGTTTTTGTACTTTGTATTCTGTGAAAATGTTAACACATGCATATCTCATTCGTTTAAAGTCGGATTGACATGCGGTTTTTTACAGAATGTAGTTTAGAGTTTGTACATGATCTTATACTATAATTTTGTCAATCTTGGTTTCATATTCAATGAGTTACAGTCACCCAAAATCGGGATATCAATATGAAAATTTTCAAAGTTCAATCCACTAAGTAGTAAGTAATTGCCAAAAAAATCCGGTTTTTCAGGGTTTTCCGGTTCTAAACCCACTTTATCCGGTTCCAACCAACCCACTTTGATGTTTCCAGGTTTTCCGGTTCTAGACCCACTTTACCCGCTACCGTACCCGGAACCAGTTCCTATATACCGGTCTGGTTTCCGATTTTACAAAATCCCGTTAACCGGTTCCGGGTTTTCCGGGTCCGGGTCCATCCGGTCAGGGTTTGGACCCACTTTCATCCCTAGTTACGAATGAAATAAATGAATTAAGTACAATAAACTATAGGTTAGTCAATCAATAAATAAATGAATTAAGTACAATAAACTATAGGTTAGTCACGCACGCTTCTGTATATATGTCCTGTGGAAATCAATTTCAAGTGGGGCCCATCGACCCCACTTATTACACATTGCGTCAGCCACTAAGGGTGTCAACTCTCGACCCAACCCGTAACCTGATACCAATCTAACCCGAAAATAGACGGGTTTATGTTGAGATTTTTGACCCCCAGCCTGTTTATTTCATGCGTTGGGTTGGGTTACCTGTTTGGGTTCACGGGTCAACCTGTCAACCCGTATATATATATATATATATATATATATATATATATATATATTGAAATATTAGTGAAATCTGATTTCCTTCCGTATTCATAATATTTCATATCATTGTATTCCTTCCGTATTCGTATGTGGTTAGTCTGCATTTGCGGTGAACTAATCAAAAAAGAAAAAACATATGTTGTCATTTTTAGATACTCATGAGTCACGAACGAAGAACACATCCACTATGTATGAATGTTTTCATTTTTCAATTTTATTTGGATGTTAATGACTTTATGAATTTATGTTGAAAACCTCTTTTTGTATGTTAATTACTTTAATCACTTTATGACTTTATGTTGAAAAAACCTCATTTTTAAAATGTGTTGCTTATTTATAAACGAGTTATATAGGTTGGGTTTGACCCACCAACTTGTGAACCCGCAGGCCCATATACTTAAACGTGTTATATGGGTTGGGTTAGGTTGAAGTTTCCAACCCACCAACCAGTGACCCGTGAACCCGCCAACTCATATATTATATGAATTGGGTTGAGTTTATGTTTTATGACCCGCCAACCCGAACCCAACCCGATTGCCAGGCCTATCAGCCACTACCCTCATCCTCCCTAAGCTAAGTGGTGAACTGATTAAAACCCACAACTTCTGACGAGAGAAAAGAAATTTAGAACGAGGAGCATGGGATGACTAGAGATGCAAAAATCAAGCTCCTGAAGAAGATGTTGTAACCAAACGACTTCTGTCGTGATATTCACCCATACACGATGTTCAGATTCTGGGCTAGAGTAGGAGACTATAGGCTGCTTCTTGGGCTCGTTGAAAAAGTGTGTATGTCACGATGAGTATCTTGGCAACGAGCCCACCTTGTATTGTTGTAACCCAAAAGAGCACATGAAGGCGATACACGAAAGATAGAAACATCATAACCCAATGTAACAACCTGATAATGATCATTTATGGGTACCTTAAAGTAAGATTAGGGATCATATATTTATTCTATATATTCAACATATAACTGCCTAATATATAAATATCACTAAGCTCATGGAGTTGACGACGACGTTGATAAGATCCGGTGCTCGCGTTCGCGCTGGTGTTGACGTTGGTGGTCAGCGTGTAGAGTATTTGAGTCATCAGATCATAAGGTGTGACCTTACACAATCAATGAAGGAGAACTAAATGTGATTTTGGTTTGTCCTAAACCTTGTCTTATGACTGTAGGTTGGAATTGAAAGATTCACATGGATATAAACATATTCACCTTGAAATCTAAATGACAAAAGGTTTCGCTCTAATTCATGAATGTGGTTATGATGAAATACGTTTGCTAATAGATTTTGAAGATCTGATTTATATGGATATTAGTTATGTAAATTGCATTCTCAAATTCACAATATGATTACGACATCCCTCTTCATATTTCGAATTGTGAGGAATGACAAGGGATTGTTTAAACTTTCAGGAGATATGTTTATCATGTCTTGAAAGAGTTTGAACATATACACTATCCAAATAAAGTGCATAAGCTTAAGAAGCCTAATTAGAGGCTTGACGAAGCATCGTGGAATAGGAATCTGCACTTTCGTGAGAAAGTCAAAGTGTATTGATTTCTAGAAGTCTATTTGATTTCTGGGTACAAGTCAAAGCTAGTGGGAGGATAATTGTTATGTTGGTATTGAATGTTGCAAATTGCAAAGTTTATAAAATATTTCACTATAATGGACTTAAGGGAAAGAGGGCACTCATACTTTGTTACGAACCTAAAAAGTTTAGATTGAATAGTTTAATAAAACTTAGTCAAAGACATATATGAATAGCATGTTGAAATGTTTCAACATTAGATATTCTATATATGGAAATATTAAAGCAAAAAAATGAACAGATATTAGACCCTTGTAACAATGAGTCGAGTCCCATATGCTTCGGATATAGGATCGATTACATATGTTACAATATTCGATTATTCTATTTTTCAAATGCTCTGAACAATGTGCGAAAAAGGATTAGAATTTTAAGTGACTAAATTTATTAAGCAAACTGTCAAGAACATTTTGAGGTTTTGCCGAAGATTGGTTGCTTGTGAACAGTTAGAAGTATGAAATTATTTGAGAAGGACCATAGTGACACGTTCTGTATTGAGATGATTCTTGGTCAGAATTGATGGCCATATGGTAATATATAAATGTTTCCATAATGGGAGATGCTTATAGAATCTACATGTGAGTTGGAAACTTTAATCTAAGAGATGTGTTCAACGAGTGTATCTTGAATTTGAGACTTCATAACCATGGATTTGTTTCTATTAACAAGTTCCAATGAAATATTCTGTAATATCGAATGCTTAGTCACAGCGACTTTGGAACCTCGACATCA